GAACTATTATTCTGCTTCCCAGTAGCGATAAATCTTTCTTTTAACTCAAGTGTCATATGACCTTGGAAATCATGTAGACTTGGAAAGGTAATAGATCTTTGAATGATGCCTTATGAAGTCATTCTGAGGCTTCCAGATGATGATAAGTTTTAAATATATTTTAATACTGAATTGTTGGGTCCTGAAGATGCCTGTCTCATGTTTTCTTTTGAATGTTAATAGGCCTTGCTTATGTTTCTCCTTTCGATATATGTATTTATCTACTTATACATACATAGCTACTTATATAAACATCAAAGCATGTATAAACAACATGATGGACCTGGCTGCTTGATATAGTGTGTGGAGCACTGGACTGATAGTTGAGAGACTAACTGGAATTATTCAGTGCTGTTCAGACTACATCCTCCATCATTTGGGGCCTAGGTTATTATAAATGATAAATTAAGGATTGAGAGTATAGGACCCGAAACAAAAGTCTCTTTTAGCTCTAACATTTCCTAATTCTATATTCCTCCTAAACACAATTTTAAACCACTTTAGACAAAGAAGACAATATCCTAGTACTCAGAGATCACAAACATTTTATCTCAGTTATATAATTGTCTTTTCTTCTGATAATCTCCTGAGGAGAGAGGTTGAAACTAAATTGACAAGGGACAGGATCAGATCTTATTAACTGTTCTAATTTTTTAACTGTAACCCTTGCTTACTGGTGACTAGAACTAAGCACAACAATTAAACAAAATACTCCCGTGTAATACCTGGACAAATGTCTTTACTTGGTGTCTGTGGCCAGGCTATAAGTGCCATTTACCCAGGAGAGCCAGAGAATGAGGAAGGATCATGTATATATGTTCTTAAATACCACTTCTACCAAAAAAAGGGTAACAGTTTAAAGTGGTAGTGCTTGTTTTAAATCTGGGGACAAACAAACACTTCAGAACAACAAATGCTTTTTCTGGTTATAGTACCTGACTGTGGGCTGTTTGCATTTTTGGCAAGAAAGGAGAGAAGAGCACTGAGATAAACAGCAGCTTAATTCCTTTGTTTAGCCATCAAGAAGTAATTACCTTTCAGTTTTCCAGATACCTGCTAGAAAAACTCATCAAAATGTTTAGACTATCCACAGAAACAGACTCAAGGAGAGCCTAGACCCTAGAAATGGATACAGATGGATAGGTCCAAAGAGCATGAAGAAAGCCTCCATGCTCACCTCTGCCCACCATGTGGACAGAATTCCCAGCATTGTATGGAATCATCATATATTCATAATGTTGCTGTCTTATTCAAAATATAAATACTTGCCAGAAGGGATCACAGGGAAGCTGATATCTATTAGTCCCTTAGCATGCATTGTTTTATGGTGTCAGTTTCTCTCTAGCATCCAGCAGATTGAAGACCTTGGAAAACAGAAAGTGTGAGAGGTGCAGAGAGTAAGGGAAAAATTGTGCTGTGCACCATAGACAGAAATCTCGTCTACAATATTCCTAGTTACTTCAGCCTATCTGATTTGCAGACCCTCCAAAATCCCCAACAACTTCCTATAGCTGAACACCAGTTTGTCAATGTACCTCTTAAGACATGTTTCAAAGAACTAAGCATGTGTCAATGATATGTCTGAAAGGTTGGGATGCCAGGTTGCTGAGTGCAGGCACCAGGGCCCTCAGAGGGGCTAAGAGGTGGATTTCACCTTGGGCTTATTTCCCCTGCACCAGCCAGGTTTCTTAAGTGCCACCACCAGAATCAACTCTGCTTATTTAAACTAAGAAGTACTTTATCATAAGGACATGCAAAAATTTTAAAATTGGTAAGAAGCTTTGGTAGCAAGGCACGAATGCAAAGAGACAAGGTTTAGCAAAGGTCATTCCATAGAAAGAGCTTGCTCAGGTGTCACTGGACAGTCAGTACCACCACTGTTGGACTGTCTGCACCGCCCCCTACCCCCAGCCAGACTGTCTGCCACCCTAGATCCACTACAGCCACCATAGGAAGACACTGTGTTCTTTGTGTCCCTCCTCAGGATTCACAGTCCTTAGTGTAGCATCAGATTGGCTGATGTCCACATTCCCATTCTTCAAGATGTAGTATCTATCTGGCTAGCCTTCAGCTTCCAGCGTAGAATGTTGGACCTGTGTTCTCATCTCGAAATTCACTCCAGATAGGACGTGTGTTTGGATGCTGAGAAGCTCAGAACCATCGTCTGATGTTTTAGCCATAACTGCACCAAGGGCTTGGAGATGAAGATATGTGTAAAATAGGTCATTCTTTTGTTCTCTTTAATTTTATGACATCAGACACTAAACATAGTTCTGTATTATCTCCATCTTCTACAAATAGAAAAACTTGAATTTTTAAAAAAATACATTTCTCTAAAAACAGAGTCCGAATTACCTGGGAGAGAATTGTTGCAGTTTAGTAGGATTTTACCTCTATCCTTATTTACCCCCTAAAGTTTAGGATCAATATTCTAACAGCCTCATCCAAGGTTTCTTTTTTCTTTTCACTTTGAAGAAACCAATTTTAGCTAAGCCCGCAGATTGCTAAGAGGAAAGGTGAGAAGCCAGAGGCAGCTTGTCATTCTGGGCTTAAAAAGGGAAGACACTTGAACCCAATTTCCTTGAATCTGAATGATGAACAAACTGACTAATTTTCTGGGTTGCTTGAAACTCAGAGCTGAATACTCCCACTATCTCCCCTGGAGTGTAGGCTCCATGTGTGCGTACTGGGAATTCTGACAGGAGTGAGTGACAGCCCTAATCCCCGTCTCTCTTTATTTCAGTGACCTTTTCCGAGAGGCAAACTCAAATGTGCTCGAGTTTGCAACCTTGTACAGCTTGAAGAGAACTCAGGGTAATGTGGGAATTAAGGACATAAAAGGAAAGATGATTTCACCTTAACAGACATGTTCTCTAAATATGGTAGAGTAATAAAATTTGAAATATTCCTCATTCTTTTCCTTCTGAGTCCCTTAGAGATTCTCCTCCCCCTCAGCTCCTAACAATCCTCACACCATTAAAACTAGAACATGAGATTGAGGCTTTTAGCCCTGGGAAAGGGAAAGGAAAAATATTTTCTAAGAACGGGAAGAATATAATGATAAAATAGAAACACCTAAATACAGGGTGTCCCAAAAGTCTCCATACAAAGGAAAATTTTTGTAAAATTTTATACTGAATATTTTGTAAATAAAGGTACATTTAGCTACAATTTCCCATTTTCCCTATATATGGTGGCTTTTGGGACAACCTGTAGATTTGGTTGAGAGGGGACTTTAGAACCACAAAGTTGGTGCCACGTTTCTCTGAAGTATATCATTGTGACCCAACATGGTGCCAAAGGAGGCAGAGGTGGTTAGCTGATGAAGGTACCCATTTGGGTGGACCTCAGGTTGGCATCTTAAGGCTCCACCTTCAAGTGTCAAGTCAAATAAACAGTTGAGAGGAAGCTAATTGTAAGACAGAACTAAAATGTGACTGAAAAACACAGTCAGTTGGGAGATGCCTGGGGTCAGAATATCAAGGCTGCAAGATGCAGGACTCTTAGAACTGGAGGCAATGGCAAGGTCCATGGTCACCATGAGCAGATGCCAGGAAGGACCACCCGTGTTTCAAGAGATGCTAGCACAGGATGTCCAAATGCCAGTGGATGCTGAAGTAAAGAGCCAATGCTCAAAGATCTTACAAGGTCAGACATCAGAGCAGAGGCCAATAGCAGGACACATACTGACCAGACACCCTCCGTGATCACCTATGATATTAAATGTAAGTTTTCTACTTCTCCCAAATGCCATTTTATGGAGGAAGAGAAAAATAGCCCAAAGAGAGAGTTAACACTTCAACATACTGAGTCAAATTGTTGTGAATCTGGCTAAATATTGACCCAAGTGAGATGAAATTTTAAGCCAAAAGTAAAGGAGATAACTTGAAGGAGGAAAATAAGTGCCGTGGGAAATAATAGTTCCAGAGTAAATTGAATTCAGGAATAGGTAATTTTTAGAAAGGCATTTGTCAGTGTCTCAGTTGAGGTGCATAAATTTTACCAACTGTATAATGAAGCAGAGCTTGGGGTAGCTGGCAACCAGAAAGTGTATGTGGCATTTTGTAATTTGAATGGCTTTCTATTCGTGCCATTGGGGACACCAAAAGCAGTTTCTCCTTCCCCAGCTGAATCCCTCAGATTTCTGGTTTCTGGTTTTCCCTTTGGGCCTATCTCCCACAGAGACCAGATTATGGTACAAGACATATAAAACCAGCCATTAAAAGTGCACAGTCTGTTTTGCTATAGCTCAAGGGACCATGGAAGCAAAAACTAGAACTGTAAGACTGGAAGGGCCCTCCGGGATCAATTAGTTTATCTTTACCATCTTACAGAGAAAGCTGAGAATCAATGAGGCAGCAGAACTTGGCCCAGGTCCCACAGGTAGATATTGACAAAACTTGACATAAAACTTGCAATATCTAATGATGGAAAAACTTGTTAATAATTACACCAACGTGTGGGTCCTTCTACAGTAAAAGTATATAAAAAAGACTCTGAGAGTCAGAAAAGACAGCAGCTTCATTATAAGAGTCACAGAAACAACATGCACACTGGATCTTAAGTGAGAAAACTTTCAAGACTTGTAAAAGAGGGAATACAGAAAGTCTTTTTGAAAAGCAGAAGAAAGATGCACAAAGGTGTGTGGCGGACCTATGGGCATGGCAAGGTGGAGGAGTGATAGAATTTGAGATAGGAAAGGGATGTCCTCTTGGCTAATCTCACGTTCCCGACTCCATTCCAGGCTCTGCTGTAGACCTTTATTTCTTCACATGCTGTCCAGGAACATGGTTTTCTTATGTCCCTGGACCAACATACTCCTTTCTTGACTGGGTTCTCATCTCTTCAGGCTGTCCATGAATAGGGGCATCCACTTCCCTTCTTGCCGCATACGTTCCAGCTTTCCAAGAACTCCAGAATCCAGTAAGGAGGTTGCAGCATCCCAAAAGAGCACAGAACCAAGAATGACCACGTTGAAATGGGTAGGAAGAGCAGTTTCACTTTGCCCACATTTCCCCCTCCCTCAAGTTGGCACAGATAACCTCTGAAAAAGATCCTCTTAGCCCACAGTTTCTTCCATGGAGAAAGGAGAAAGGGATGCATGCAACATCCCCACATTTTAGGGCCCTGTCCAAGAGAACTGCTCCTCTCTTGCCTCACTTAGAAGGCTAAAGGATCCAGCACAGTTTGAACACCTATGGACAGCTAATAACAGAGAGTTGGAATGATGTGTGGCTCTCACGGTTTGGCAGGGCCTCTAATAGCCAGTGTGGACTCCAGCAGCCACACAGTGCCCAGCAGCCTTCATGGCTCCAGCAGCCCCACAACTTCCAGTACTTGGCGAGTCTCCCTGCCACCAACGGGACCCCCAGGATCCTGTACAGCCTAGGCAGCCATGCAGCACCTGGTATCCAGCATGGGTTGCAGCTTCCAGCACTGATTGGAGTTGCTGGTGCTGATCACACCTGTCAGTGCAGATTGCAGCTGCCACTGCAGTCCCCAGTGGCTGGCATAGCCCCCAATGCCAAGCATGGCCCCTTAGCAGTGGCAAGCATCTCAGTCAATGGCGCAGATCTTAGCAGATGGCATGGATCCCTGAAACCAGCATGTATGTCAGCAACCAGCTAGATCTGCAGGATTGGGAGAAGGCACACAATCTTGAGACAACTCCTTTAGAAGGGAGGGAGAGAAGTGGAACTTGCACCCAATGTACATTGAACTAGGGAAAATGAGAGGTTGACTAAACCATTTTCCTTAGACGAAGGTTCACAGCTGTAAGTTTACCATCCAGCCAAAATTTTCCCAAAGGACTTTTAGATGGAACTTTCCTATGTTGCAATAAAACTTTACAAACAAATATAGACAATACAGAGAATTCTCAACACAAATTCCAGGCCTATCAAACAAATGGGAAAACCAAAGGGAATGGAGCCACCCATATTACAGCTCCACAGTGCCCCAAATGCCCTGCCATAGGGCTGGAAGGTTCAAACCTTTCCCAAACAGTGGTTCAATCTCCTCCATTCCCTGGGAACCGCAAAAGAGCTCCATGTCCCTGCCCTACTAAACCGCTGCACTTCCACCTGCAAACAGCACATCTACACCAGCAAGGAGGTCTGAAAACCCCCCAAAAATGGGGAACACGGTCTCAGCATCACAAGGGGCTTTACTTACAAATAGCCATGGCTGTTGTGACGCTTCCCAAATCTGTTTCCTTCCCCTCCAAATCATCATGTCGGTCAAAGCTTCGTCCATCTGGAAAGAAAGAGATGGGACTTCCCAGAACGAAGTTGATCCCTGACAGCTGCTGGAAATCTATTTCTTTCTAACCTGAAGAGGTGATGCCCTTTTCCCAGGGCTTGTCGCGGAGCTCTGCCCTCCCTCTTCTGCAGGGTGCCATTCTACCTGGAAGCCAATGGGCCCACCCAGCTGCACCAAAATCCATTACCAAAAACTCGGACACTGGTCCATGAGGCCGAATCAGAAGAACAAGAACAAGCACAAGCAGTTTGAGGAGTAAAGAAAGAGTTTACTTTGCCCACAAAGGAGGAAATATGGTACACTGTCTCGTCTCCAAATCCCAAATTTGCTCAGTATGTACAATTTGTGTACGTCAATGAAAAACATAAAATATATACAGTGTAGAGAAAAATGCATAGAAATAGCAAGAGTTATAGACCAATATCATTAAATAAAAACACAAGCAGAAACAAAACCATGTGACTATGTCACACTCAGACCCTATGCGTGGACTTATTTCAGACATCTATCACAGTGCTTTGGGTGGAGTGGTGAATGGAGCTGAGAACGAGAGATGAAAGGAAGAAAAATAGAAAGAGAGAGGCCTTGTAGGAGTTGATGAAGAAAGTGTGCCATAAACTGGGTGTGTGATTAAAACCTTCCACCTTCCCCTTCTGCCTCCTCTAGGTTACAGGATCTTCTTTTCCTGAGCCCCTTCCAAGATCTCACCTTCCACATCACAGCTAGGAAGTCTGGCATCAGGCTCCCAGGGAGCAGGAATATGTGACACACAAGGACACACCCCGCCCAGCCTGGGGAATGGGGAGCATCACATAATAGAACTCTCTGGCACTTTTCAATGAAAAGATTTGAATGAGTGGGCAGGGGAACAATCTGAGGTCCTGCAACTACATTTCCCAGAGATCCCTGGGATGATTCTAACCGGACTCTGGGGGCGGGGCCATTTGAAAGCCAATAAGGGCAGCTCCTCTGCAGACCTTAGAAGTCAGAGGATTGCATTCAACTTGGTTCCTGGTTCCTGGCACAAGTAACCAATGTATGGAGCTCCGTAAGTAACTTGAATTGTACTTTAAAATTGAAGTATAATCCTATCTCAGGTGGGAGTACAGGATCTAGATTCTGAATTTCAAGTTCTCAGCGTGTTCAGAAAGTTTGGCTGGTACATACTTGGAATCTAATGCTATAACTACAGTACAGCATTATGGTGACTTTAACAGACGCTTCATCAAAACCGTTTAGGTTCTAATCACAGCCAAACCACTTTGTAGCTGTGAGACCTTGGCCATGTCATTTAGCGTCTCTAAAACTTGGTTTCTCTAGTAAAATGGACCTAACAATAGTGCATACTTCAGAGGGTTGTTGTGAGAATTAAATATGTGTATTAAAACAGAGCTAATGTGTTTAAGGGAACTTCCTCAACTGGATTTCCCTGTTGGATACTTGTAACGTGGGAGTCCACGCTTCTCTGTCCTCAACAGGGTGTGTCCTGAAGAGCCCAGTTAGTCCTGCAGACACCGAGCTCCTAACAGTCCCTGCTCCTCTTGCATTGGCTGATTAGAAAACCCCTTAAGAGCCCACATGTCCGGGAAGGGAGGTTGCATTGGATTGTCTGCAATGTCTAGGGGAGTTCCTGGGGGAAGTTTTGTGTTGTTGGAAGCAGGCTTAGAGGGCAGTTTGTCTCCTGGAGGCATAAATGACACAAAATTGAATCCTTCACTGTCAGAATGAGGGCTTCACCCCCTGAACAGAGCGGTGAAGAACTCCCCAGGAGAGAGGAGCTGCCTGGGCAAACAGCCCCAGGAGCTGGGGGGCAATGGGCTCTCTGCTCTTGCCTTTGCCCCCAGGCTCTGGCCTAACGCCCAGAAGACTGTTCTTTCCTGATACATTGCTTTTCCTTTCTCTAGGCCCCTCCTTTTAGTGCCTGAAAGGCAAAACAGCTGACTCCACCCTGTCCCTCAAAAGGAACTTTGTAACTGTCAACTCTCTAGCTGTTTCCTGTCCAGAGACTTATTTTGCCTGGCCTTTACCCTCTGCAGCTGGAACAGCAGCTTTCCTTTCCTTTTCACTTTCCTGGCCTGCAGCAAGTACCCACACCACCTGGCTGGCTCCTGTAGGCACTTGCTGGGAGAATGCTCTGTTATTTACCTTTCTGGACTTCTGGTGGAGACCAGTAGGTCTAATGGTTTCATTTGCGTCACCATCTTTTTTTAAAAATTCTAAAAATTACTTTAGACAGGGAATGCACTCTCCAGTTTCCTTCAAGCTCCACCCTCCCCATTTTATTACACCTACTTTCTGCCTTTACATTTCAATAATTTAACCAGAATATATAATGTAAAAATGTTGTAATTGGAGGCTATTAGACTGGATGGCTCCAATACTTTTGGTTCCCAATGTAAGTAATACAATGAAAGTGGACACTTTCACCAACCAGAAACTACCAACTAACCTCTGACTAGGGCTTCTCCACTCTCACAATCAAATATATTTTCTCCATCTTACATTTGTGAACATTTCATAAAAGTTTCTCTCACCCCCTCCCACCTTCCCCAGTGGAGCATCGAATCCTTTGTGATCTGGGGCTACCTGATTCATGGATTGCTCTCTGCTCAAATAAACTCTTCAAAATTGTCGTGTGCCCAAGTTTATCTTTTAACAGTTCCCATCGTGACATTGTTAGATCAGATTTTCCTAGAATCTGGTCTTTCTTGAGCTTCAGGTTAATTTTTGACTTCATATTTCTATTTCCATATGAACCAAATGGTTTCTTCACTAGCCATGATCTTGTAACTTTTCTACTCTTCGTTCTGTATTAAAAGGAGTCATTGCTTAACTACAGTCTTTCAGTGTGGCCTCTCTGTTTCTTAGCTTTCACTTTCATTTACTTCTTCTCTTGCCAATGAAGCAGAAAATCTTTATCAGGATAGCTCATAGTTGTTGAATTTCTCAAGCTCTTTCATGTTCAAAATTATCTTCATATTGCCATAGCCTTTATGCTTTAATGAAATTCAAACCAGAATAATATTTGGGAATAACTCTTTCCTTCAATATTTTGAAAACATAGTTCCATTACTTCACCTAAGGATATTTCTCTGAAACATTCTGTTGCCAACCTAATAAATCCTCCCTTATAAATTATTTTCTTTCTCTGCCAGAGGCTTGAGTAGTTTTCTTTAATTTTGAATTTCAATAATTTAACAAGAATATAGTGCATTGTCAAGCATGTTGAATCAGACTTTACCAGAAACACGTCCCTCTTGTTTTTCAGCTTTAATTTTTTGCTTCACTTCAGGAAAAGATTTTTTGTTATCTTTATATACATTTTCTATTACACTTTTTGTGTTGTTATCTTTACATTGGATTGTCTTTAACTGCTTTCTGTGTGTATTAGCTTCTTTCCTACTATCCTGTTTGCTGTATCTTTTTATTAACTTTTATTTTTTTTAAGTTTTTCAGTGCTTACATTTGTTAAAAATGAAAAATAGGAATAAAATTGATTCTGTACACTGTTTTATTCTAGGTATAAGAAATTTTCACTTACATACATGAACTAATCTTTTTTTTAATTTCAGAATATTATATTGATATATTTCCTTGCTGTTTATTATTAATTATGTGTCAGATCTCTTTATGTCCTTAATTACTGTTCTAAGGTCTGAAATTTTTCTTTTCATAAAACTGTATTACTTTATCACCTCATTTTTTAGCTCTTGGTCATTGAGTCCAGTTTACATGGTTTATAGCTCCAAGAATCTGTAAAGAATTTCCACCTATTTGGTTTGTTTTTCTCCTTTAATTGATTGTCTTTTTATGAATGTGAGTGTTGCATGTCATGTCTTTTCTTCTAATCCCAATCTCATAGTATATTTTCATTATGTTTTTTATCATATTCATGTATACGTAGCTCTGTCTCCACCTTTTGTTTTTTGTATCTAGTGTGGCTGGTGAGATGTTCAGCTGGGGTTGGGCTTGGATTCCTCAATTTTTTCAGTGGAGATGGAGGAAGATGAATATGACAGGAGATACATTGATGGCAGATCTTCTGGAGGTAGATGGTCCTTCTTTGTTTCTGGTGATACCACGCATCAAGGGCATTCCCTTCTTTTTCTGCCACATCATCCTCAATGAGTTGTCACCTAAAGGAAGACCTAGTGCTACCACCACATCCTGGTTGTTGATGTGTTTGGTATATGCCGTGGTAGTGATCGGGGCCATGGAACGTGGCTCACCCCTCCTTGCTGATCCCAGGGCAGGTCATCATCTGATTGGTTGCTTCTGGGCCCCTCCTGGTGGCTTCCACAACCTCTAGCTTTGAATCCTGGAGGCTCTGGCCCCATCATTGTTGCTCCGTCTGCGGTGGTTATAATTTCTGCGCTTTTCCTGATGCAGCTCGGGTGTTCACTTTACTATGCAGTCCTTTCCCTCTGCTCTGTGATTTTTTAGCTAATTGTGTGTTCAGTCTGTTCTTATCCTGGCAACTACTTTCCAAGTGCTTTGAGCATTCCACCTTCAATCATAACTTTAGTGATACACAATTTCTTATGTTTAGTCACAGAATACTCAAGTACTATTTGGTTACAACATTTACTAGTATCCCGGCCTTTAACAAAAATTAAATCCTTTCAAATGAACTTGTAGTTACTAAATTCCAACTGAACATTTGTTCTTGAGAAAAAGGGAGGGACAAGGTAGGGGTGATCTGACTAAATACAAATTTTCCTCTCTGTGCCTGAGTGGTAGAGTTTTAGAGCTTGTCCAAGTGTGGAGAAAGAGTCCTGGTTCAAGTTAGGATGAGATGAAATACAATTAATGTAGTAGGTTTCGGAGAAATAATGTACAACTCAAGGACAAGGAAAGTTGGAAACACTGCCAGTATTGGAAGGATATTTGGGTCAAAAAGAGAAGAATATGAAAGAAATGATAGGAGGAGGGAAAATAGAGATGCTTTGCTTACTACCACCCACCGGTCCCTTTGTACCATGTCATCCTTAGGCCATGCCATACTACAAAGGAGTTACTCTCGAGGTCTGGGCACCCTGTTGCAAATCAAAGTCTCAGTAGATTAAGTCTCTTTGATAGCAGGTTACAAAAATTTTTTCTAAAAGGATTAAACAAAATAACAGGCATTTTTCTTTTGGTTCACATTACATGAAAGTTAAAGATAGCTTAAGGTTTCATTGATGACTTTCTTCATCCTCCCTTCTCCTGTTCTTCATTCTTCAACGTTGTCAAATCTTTATTAGTATTGTTCTTCACTAGGACTTCCCCAATAGCTTTGAGGTAATATGCCACTAGCTTTTAGCCCTTCAGCAGAATGTACATGCTTAGATTTTGGCAAACATCATTCAATAAATGTCTCCTTGATCTACTTACGTTCCCTGCCATCCACAAGCCGAACATTGGTCCTAAAACGTGTTTGAATTGGTCCTCCCTAGTTCATGTGACAATCCATAGAGCTCAATGTGGACAGCTCATTCTCTACACAGTAGTCAGAAAGATCCCTTTGATTATGACAAACATTGTTCAAATTATAACCCTTTTCTCTTCCCTCTCATTTCGATTTCTTATCTCAATTAGAGTTATAGCCATAATGTAAACATTGGCTCTAAAACTATATTTACCTGATCTCATCGCAATCCACTCTCTCTCTCTCACTTCTATTGTTCCCATCACCCTGGCTTCCTGATGTTTCTTACACAGCTTATGGCTTTTTAACTTTCTGTTCCCTCTGCTTGGAACAATCTTCCCCGCACGTATCCACCGAGCTTATTCTCTAGCATCCTTGTAGTGTTGGTGAGTCTTTCTTTGGCTACCATCTTTGAAACTGAAGCTCTCCCTGTGCCCTCACTACTCCCTGTTTTTGCTTTACTTTTCCCAGTGCACTTACCACAATCTAACTGATAGAACATTTTATCCATTTACCAGTTGACTATTGAATATTTTACCCAGTTTACCAGTCAGAATGTTACTCCAACGCCCAGTAAAATGTAAGATTTTTGAGGGCAAGTAAACACTTGATCACTAGTAAATACATAAATGATATTCAGTAAACTATTGAATGAATCAATGTGTCAATAAATATAAATCTTTTAGTGGAGAACTTTGTGTAAGATTCAACGAAAGGGGAAATCTAGTGGGTCGTGTACCTTGAGTACCGCATCCTCTATTGTGTAATTCTGCTGCTTATGTCAGGAACTGTTTCTAAAACTACTTAATTGACACCAACTGGAATCTCTTTTTTATTCATCACCAAGAAAATCACAAACAAGCTATTTATCATTTGGCTCATGATTTCTTCTGAATTTCCAGCTTTTCATGCCTGGAAGATAGAAGAAATGATACTACTTTCCTTACAGGGTTCTGAGACTATTAAGTGAACTTCTGCATGTGAAAGGATTTCATACAATAAAGCACTAAACAAGGAGTTATTAATACAAATACTTGTAACCATAGAGTGTTTTTCCATAGGTAAAATACATTATACCTATAATTAACCTACTCAAAGAAATCCACTTGCAGAAGTAATACTGTCTATCTTTGTTTTGTTTTCCTTGCTTAGGGCATCATGGACATTGAAGCATATTTTGAAAGAATTGGTTATAAGAACTCTAGGAAGAACTTGGACTTGGAAACACTAACTGACATTCTTCAGCACCACATCCGGGCCATTCCCTTTGAGAACCTTAACATACATTGTGGGGAAGCCATGGAGTTGGGCTTACAAGCCATTTTTGATCAAATCGTGAGAAGGAACCGGGGTGGATGGTGTCTCCAGGTCAATCAACTTCTGTACTGGGCTCTCAGCACAATCGGTTTTGAGACCATAATTTTGGGAGGATATGTTTACATAACTGCAGTTGACAAATACAGCAGTAACATGATTCACCTTGTACTGCAGGTGACCATTGGTAGCAGGAAGTACATTGTTGATGCTGGGTTTGGACGCTCCTACCAGATGTGGCAGCCTCTGGAGTTAATTTCTGGGAAGGATCAGCCTCAGGTGCCTTGCATCTTCCGCTTGAGAGAAGAGAGTGGCATCTGGTACCTGGACCAAATCAGAAGAGAGCAGTACATTCCAAATGAAGAATTTCTTAATTCTGATCTCCTGGAAAAGAATAAATACCGAAAAATCTACTCCTTTACTCTTGAACCTCGAACAATTGAAGATTTTGAGTCTATTAATACATACCTGCAGGAATCTCCAGCATCTGTATTTACAAGCAAATCATTTTGTTCTTTGCAGACCCCAGAAGGGGTTCACTGTTTAGTAGGCTGGACCCTCACCTCCAGGAGATTCAATTATAAGGACAATATAGATCTGGTAGAGTTTAAGACTCTGGATGAGGAAGAAATAGAAGAAGTGCTGAAAAATATATTTAATATTTCCCTGGAGAAAAAGCTTGTGCCCAAACATGGTGATCGATCTTTTAATATTTAAGTTAAGAAACAAAATAAACCTCTCTATATTAATCAGCCAGCTCACCAGTTATCAACTGATGACCTCTCATATTTCCTCTAACCCCCTACATTATTTTGAAGAAAATTCTAGACATCAAATTATTTCACCCATAAAAATGTCAGTATATACAATTAAATAGCTTTTTACAGAAGCATAAGCACACACCTCTTCAAATTAATAATAAAGGCAGTGTAAGGTTAGTCTGTGGTAATCTTGGGAACCATAGTGGCTTATGCTAGAAAACTTTCAATATTGGGTTACTGTTGAATTCCTAGAAGATTGTTGTTGGTGATAGGTAAACAGAATGTTATGGAAAAACTTACTGTTTATAAAGTATATTAAAACATTGTTGGCTAATACAGTGTGAATCAAAGCTTTTGTTTGGAAGACAGGATATTATGGGGTTAGGTGATTGTTCCTCAATGGAGTCTTCTTATCCTCTTTCTTGTCTCCTAGTTATATTCTTTTACTTCATTCCAGATTTTTCCCATAAAAGAAAAAATCAGCTTATTTTGTAGATCTGAGTTGAAATCTTGTGGACACTGGGTGAATACCTTTAGAAATCTGCGGCTCTGATTCCTCAGAGGTACAATGGGGATAATACTTGTAGTATTCAGTGCCAGACCTAAAGTAAACTCTCAGCAACTGTTTGTTAGATGGGTGAATAAATGATGTCAGTCATGTTTTTGGTACTGAGTCAGCATTTAATGAAAGTTCTTTCCTTTTGTTTTATTTTCCTCTAAGACCAGCCTGAAAAACATAGTGAGATCCCCATCTCTAAAAAAGAATTAGCTGGGCATGGTGGCACCCCTGTAATCCCAGCTACTTGGGAGGCTGAGACAGGAGGATCGTTTTAGCCAAGGAGTTTGAGGTTGCAGTGAGCTAGCCAGGGTGACAGAACGAGACCCTGTCTGAAAAAAAAAAAAACCAAATTGTCATTCTTTGCAGATGACATGACCTTATATTTAGAAAAACCTAAAGAATTCACCAAGACACTGTTAGAACTGATAAACTGATAAAGTTGCAGGATACAAATCCCACATACCAAAATAAGTACCATTTCTATATTTTAACAGTGAACAATCCGGAAAATATTTCAAGAAAGTAATTTCATTTCAAATGGCTACAAAAAATACCAAGAAATAAATTTAACCAAAAAGTAAAATACCTACAAGAATACTATAAAGCAGCGATGAAAACAATTGAAGATTAAAAAAATTGAAAAATATCACATACTCAGGGATTGGAGGAATTAATATTATTAAAATGTCCATACTACCTGAAATGATGTACAGATTTAATGCGATCCCTATCAAAATAACAGCGACATTCTTCACAAAAATAGAAAAAACAATCGTACAATTCCTAGAGAACCACCGATGTCCCCAAATAGCCAAAGCATATTCTGCATATGGATATTCAGTTACTCTATCTCTCACCATATACAAAAATCAAATATTAAAAACAGATTAAAGGCTTAAGTGTAAAGTTATGAAACTATGAAAACACTAGAGAAAACATTGGGGAAACATTTCAGGACATTGGGCGGGGCACAGTTTTCGTAGGATAGAAAAAGCACAGGCAATATAAGCAAAAATCGACAAATTATATCAAGCTAAAAAGCTCTGCACAACAAAGGAAACAACTGTGTGAAAAGACAACATGCAGAATGGGAGAAAATATTTGCAAAATATTATCTGACAAGGGATTAACAATGTTGAAAGTCAAACATTTTAATGGCAAAAATCCCAAATAACACAATAAATGTAGTCAAAAGATTTGAATAGACATTTCTTTAAAGAAAACATAAATGTACAACAGGTATATGAAAAAATGCTCAGCATAACTATCATCAGGGAAATGTAAATCAAAACCACGGTGAGATATCTCACTCTAGTTAAAATAGCTATTATCAAAAAGAAAATAACATATTTACAAAGATGTGGAAAAAGGGAATGCTTGTACACTGTTGAGGGGAATGTAAAGTAGTATAGCTACCATGGAAAACTATATGGAGGTTCCTCAAAGGACTAAAAATAGAGCTACTATATGGTCCAGCAATCCCACTGCTGGGTATATTTCCAAAAGCAAGGAAATTAGTATATCAAAGAGATATATGCACTCCCATTTATTGCAGTACTATTCACTATAGTCAAGATACAGTGTCAACCTAAATGCCCATCAATGATGTATGGATAAAGAAAACATGGTGGTAAACGAGCACCTCTTGCATTATCCTGGATGGAGTTAGAGCCCATTCTTCAAAGTGAAATACCACAAAAATGGAAAAACAAGCACTGCATATACTCACCATCAAATTGGTACTAACTGATCAACACTTAGGTGCTCACATGGAAGTAACATTCATCGGGTACTGGACAGGCGGGACAGGGTGGAGAGGTTGGGTAAATTCACAACTAATGGGTGCGGCGCACACTGTCGGGGGGGTGGGCATGCTTGTAGCTCTGGCTTGGGCAGTGCAAAGGCAATATATGTGACCAAAATATTTGTACCCCCATAGTATTCTGAAATTTAAAAATAAAAAAGAAAATATGGTATATATATACACAATAGAATACTATCCAACCATAATAAAGAAAGAAATTCTGTCATTTTCAGCAATGTGGATGGAACTGGAGGTCATTATGTTAAATGAAAAAGGCCAGGCCCAGGAAGACAAATATCCCATGTTCTCACTTACCTTGGGAGCCTAAAAAATTGATATTATTGATGTCAATTGAATTTTGGTTACCAGGGGCTAGGAATGGTGGTGGAGGGGGGAGGAATAAAAAGAGGGTGGTTAATAGGTACAAAAATACAATTAGATAGAATAAGTTCTAGTGTTTGGTAGCACCATAGGGTGACAATAGTTGACAATAATTTATTGTATATTTCAAAATAGCTATAGGAGAAGATTTGGAATGTTCCCAACACAAAGAAGTGATAAATATTTAAGGTGATTGACATTCCCCTGATTTCATCAGTACACGTTATACCTGAATCCAAATATCACATGTACCCATAAGTATGTACAACTATTATGTATCAAAAGAAAAAGAATATAAACAACTGGATTCTCTACACCTAAAAATTAAAAAAAAAAGGAAAAGAAAAGGAAAAGTGTTATCAAGCTATGAAAAGACACGGAGACAACTTAAATGTATGCTACTAAGTGAAGGAAACTAATGTGAAAAGGCTGCATACTGTATGATTCTAAATATATGTTATTCTGAAAAAGACAGAATTGTGGAGGCACTAAAATGATCAGTGTTTGCCAAGGATTAGGGACGAGGGAGAGATAAACAGAGCACAGAGGATTTTTTGGGCAGTGCAACTATTCTTTATAATATTGTAATGGTCGATAAATGTGATTATACCTTTGTCAAATCCCACAGAATATTCAGCACCAAGAGTGGATCCTAATGTGATCTATGAACTTTGAGTGGTAATAACGCATTAATGTAGGTTCATTAATTGTAACAAACGTACCAAGTTTATCTGAGCAATAGTTTTTCCTTTTTTTTTTTTTTTCTTTTCTGCCCTAGTTTACTCAAATGGATTCAGTTAAATGGCCAGGTATCTGACTGTGTTAGACAGAATCTGAACTATTAATAGGTTCAAAATCAAATTGGATTCAACATTTAATTGGATTGGATCCAGTTAAGGGCCTTGGGTAGGTATTTTTTATCTTTCTGGCTTTTGGATCTAGGGTTTTGTGCTATGAGGGAGCATATAACCTTTGGAAGTCATGACAGAAACAAGAGACCTCAGTCTGCCTGGGTCAGACAGAACTGACCTGCGTTCAGAAGTAGGTAGGGTTAACCTAGAATTAAAGTGGCCACAATGGGAAATTTTAATTTGGATAGAATTATTTATTTGCAAGGCATATTAGAAAAAGCAGGGATCAAAATCCCCACAAAGACAATGGGATGCATTTCTTAATTGGTACCTGGAGGCATGTAAGAGACTAAATTAATCCAGATTGCCTCCTTAAAAGATTCTTTGGTAAAAGCAAATAACAAACTTGAGCAACAGACTAGGGACAGAGGAAAGAGGACTGCTTTCACTGAATTTACCCTTGTTTTTCTTCTTGTCTGTCTTTACTTCAAGTCCCTGAATCTCTTAACTTGTTTACTGAATTACCTTTTTGCTAAAGAGAGCCAGGAGGAATCGTTAAAAGCCTTTTAAATTTAATTCCTGATACCTAAGGTATTTCTTCAAAAACAAAACAAAGCAAGAAAAACCTCAAACAACAAAAAACCTGATTGGTTTGTTATACAAGACAAGAGACAAACCAGTTTCAGATTGCAGAGTTTATTTAGACACATGATTTGTGGAACATTCTGAGCTAAAAATGCAACAAGGTGTATTTCCTTCAGGCACTGGAACAGTATTAATTTACAGCCGGCAATTAGACCCGGTAGCCAAGGCATAACCTAATTATTTAAAAGTAGTAGCAGCAACAGCCAAATTGGTGGAGGTCTCATCTGAGTTGGTTTTGGGACATGAACTTTTCTTGCAGGTTCTACCTGCTGTGGACAATCTATTGAATTCCAGGCAAACTCAGCATCTTTCAGTAAGTAGACTAACATCTCAGGAAATTCTTTTGTCTTCTTCTAATCGCCATTTAAAATATTGCATTTTACGTAATCCTGCTCCTCTGCTGTCTCTATGGACAACAGTGAGGACTGAAATTGAGCATAGCGTGAGAATTAGTAACCCCCGTGTGGATTCACAGGATACTCCATTGGCTAATTGTGAGTTAATGCTTTATGCTAAAGGGTCTATGCCAAAAACTAAAAAAGCAGGGTATGCTGTTACAATCCAGACTTTTTACCTCCACATGTCTTACAAGACTGGTTGACATTTAACTGCTTCCACCTCCTCACATGTCACTTTTCCTCAATTCTAGCTCTTCAAACTGGCTTCTGATCCTACCCCTGCATTAGAACTCCTTCTGGGAAAGTCACCAGTGACCTTCTGATCACCAAATGTGACAATCCTTGTTCCATCCCTGTCCCAATTTGTCATTCCATCCGTCTTCTCATTTATTCTCCCTCATCCAATCTGCGGCAAGTCAAACCTAATATGTGGTATTTCCCCTGTCCTGTGCCCATGCTGTTTCTCTGCGTAGAACACCCGTTACTCTGGTGGTTAAAATCCTACAAATACCTCAAGACTTACCTCAGTAGTACTCTAGGACTCTTAGCACTCAGCCTTTTATTATTGTTATTATTGTTATTCAGAAAAATATCTGAATTCTGTTGTAAAATTAGCTCCTTGAAACAGACCAGGAGTGGTGGCTCATGCCTATAATCTCAGGATTTTGGGAGCCAAGGTGGGAGAATCGCTTCAGACC